ACACATATCCACTTGTGGATTTTGCCTCTGAAGTATTGGAAATCCAATTTGCATCACAATACCCTTCAAGTACATGAGGATATCTCGTGTAATGCAATCCATAATTCATTGTATGCTTTAAATATCTAAGCACTCTCACTAATGCATACTAATGATCTTTCCCAGGATTGTGGGAGTAGCGGCTTAATCTACTTACACTATATGCTAAGTCTGGTCTTGTACAATTCATAATATACATTAAGCTACCAAGAACTTGAGTATATTCTAATTGAGCTACACTATCACCTTTATTCTTCTTTAGATTACTAGAAGCATCAAATGGGGTGACAACCGACTTGTCATCATAGTGTCCAAACTTCTTGAGTACACTTTCAATATAATAGGACTGAGTAAGAGTATAACCATCTGGTCTTCTTTGAACTCTTACACCAAGGATCACATCTACTACTCCCAAGTCCTTCATGGAAAAGGAGGAGTGTAGCATTTTCTTGGTTTGATTGATCACATCCAAATTAGTACCCATTATAAGCATATTATCCACATACAAGCATATGATTACACAAGCATTCTTGTATTGTTTGACATAAACAAATTTATCACATTCATTAATTCTAAATCCATTAGAGAGTAATGTGTTGTCAAAATTCTCATGCCATTGCTTTGGAGCCTGTTTTAGTCCATAAAGTGATCTAACTAACTTACAGACTTTGTTTTCTTGACCTTTAACCACAAACCCTTCAGGTTGATTCATATATATCTCTTCATCTAGTTCACCATACAAGAAGGCAATTTTCACATCCATTTGGTGTATTTCCAAATTGTGAATGGCTGTAATTGCTACTAATGTGCGAATTGATGTAATTCTTATAACAGGTGAATAGGTGTCAAAGAAGTCTTGACCCTCTTTTTGACGATACCCTTTAGCTACTAATCGAGTTTTGTACTTCTCAATGGTACCATCAGGTCTAAACTTCTTCTTGAATATCCATTTGTGCCCAATTGGTTTTTGCCCAGGTGGCAAATCTACCAATTTCCAAGTGTTATTCTGCACAATGGAGTCAATCTCACTTTTGATTGCCTCTTTCCAATAAGGAGCTTCATAAGAGTCCATAGCTTCCTTATATGTTTGGGGTTCATTATTCACTACGAAGGTCATGTAATCAGTTCCAAAATCTTTGGCAATTTTTCCCCATTTGCTTCTTTTGGGTTCTAAGTTCTCTTCTTGAACCTTAGAAGAACTCTCTTCATTTGATTGTAAACTTTTGCCTGGAATGGTATCATTCAGTCCATCATCTAGATGTATTTTCCTAGAGCAGGTAACCTCTTTCCCTTTATCCTTAAAAGGAAAAATATTTTCAAAGAATTCAGCCTCTGCTGTTTCCATGTTGGTTTGGTTATGGATATCATCAACATGTGATTTATACACAAGAAACATATATGCTGCACTATTCATGGCAAGTCCAAGATAGATGCAATCTATGGTTTTTGGTCCAAGTTTAGTCCTCTTAGGAAGAGATACTTGTACCTTAGCAAGGCAACCCCACACTTTCATCCTTTTGTAAGAGGGTAACCTCCCTTTCCACAGATGATAGGGTGATTTATCACTCTTTTTATGAGGAATTCTATTAAGTATTGAATTTGCTGCAAGACATGCTTCTCCCCGTAGATTATGTGGTGCTCCAGAAGTAATTAACATTGAATTAATCATGTTTTTCAATGTTAATTCTTTCTTTCTGCCACTCCATTTTGTTGAGGAGTATATGGAACAGTTGTTTGATTTATAATACCATTTAAAGAACAAAATTCAGCAAAGTCTTTGGATTCATATTCTCCTCCTCGATCAAACCTTAGAATTTTGATATTTTTGTCAAGTTGATTTTCAACTTCAGCCTTGTAATTCTTAAAAAAATTCAAGGCTTCATCCGTGGTATTTAACAAATAAATATAACAATACTTGCTGAAATCATCAATCAAGAAATATAATAATTTTTTCCTCCTCTTGTAGGTATTGCTCTAAAATCACATAAATCAGAGTGGATTAAGCCGAAATATTTCATTAGATTTTTCAATTGATTTATGAGGATGTTGTGAAAATTTTGATTCTACACAAACCTCACATTTTATGTTTTTGTCTAATGAACATTTTGGTAACATGCAAAGTTTTGTCATTCTTTGAATAGAACGAAAATTGACATGTCCCAAACTAGAATACCACAAATGAAGGATCATGCATTTACATTGAAGAGGGGCTAGCATATATATATATATATATATATATATATATATATATATATGTCTTTGTCTTCAACCATGGTCACCGTCTTCCATCCTTCCAGAACTTTCTCTACTCCTCCGGTATACTCTACTATCCACAGAAACCCACCGCCTCGTACCACCTCCTTCCTCCGCTCAAGAAATCTGAAATCTCCATTAACGGTCGTCTCTTCTTCTTCTGACATCCAACAACTCCTACCGTAGAAGGTGGGTTTCAGAATCGTCGGCCCCCACAAGCCCTAAAAGCACCCCACCGATCGCCGCCACCACCATAATCTCCAGATCCGCTTCGACCGCCACCGCCGTCTCCAGCGTCTCCGACACGCCCACACCAACTCCACCACGTCCTCATCAAATGATCTACGATCGCGTTGCCGAAGAAATCAAATCGAAGCTCAAGCGACTAAAAAACCCCGATCCTAGGTTCCTCAAACACAACTACCCTTACCACAACGTGCCTAGATTTCCATCGCCGGCCTACCGACACCTCATCGGTTTCTCCTTCTCCACCGCGGAGCCGGCCAACCTTGATTTGGTGTAAATCTACTTAAACTCCGGCCACATACAATGCCGACGAGTCGTGCTTCGATTCCGGATACATTCAACGTCGGGTCTCCCTGTGCTATTCCTCTTATTCGCCCAATCTTTCATCTTCCATGTTTTTCTTTTTCTCTCATCTTCATTCACAAAAACACCGCCATCTCCACCATCCTGTCGACTTCTGCCACCGACAGCAATCCAATACGCACCGACTCTACTTCCTTCTTCGATTATACCACAACACCGATTTCTTGAAGCGTGGATTGTGGGTCAGGTGGGTCGATGGATTTGGGAGTGTCGGATGATTCTCCATCTGCTTATAACTTCTTCCATAACTTTAATTTTTTTAATTAAAGGCAACAGTGTGGATGGATTTTGGGGACGATGATGGACTTCAGCTTTCTTCTTCGTTGGATTTCAATCACGAACAAAAACTTAGGGTTCAATTTAAACCAATTGAGGTAGGCTTGTTTCTACATGGCTTCTTCTTACTTTTCATTTAATCAATAGAATTTATACGAAATTGCAATATAAATGATTACTTCCTGGATATATGGTTATCGATTGCTTTCATAAATCTTTTATGGTTTATAATGCCATTATTCATCTTGGACTCCATCTAATGATCAAGGTAGTAGTAGTTGCCATTTGCCATTGCAGTATGTGTCTTGGATAATATTCTATAGTTTTTTGTTCCACAATTCCTAAACATTTCTGTTTTCTACGTTTAATATTGTGCATAAAACTACGACTAAGACAGGTGTGTGAAATTGTCCACGAGCCATGACTTTTTTTTAATCTTTTAAGTATGACATCATAAGGAATTGGACTTATATTATATATTTTTTTTTTCAGGCCATTGTGCAGTTCACAGATTCAGAAACTGATATTTCTGCAAAGGATGCTCTTGATGGAAGAAGTATTCCCAGGTGATTAAATGTAAATCATATACGGGTTTATGGTGTTTTTTTATACTTAACTTAAAAAGAAGTTATACTAGAGCTTGACTGTCATAGAAACTAGGCTTTCGGAAACATATGATATATGTTAAAGACACTATTTTTTTTTTACCCTCATTTAAAGTCATGTATGTTAAACTTTTAACAAAAATAATTTTTTCTTAATTTTAAGTGACAGCAGGTGTTGCTGGATAATAAGAAACAAATTTGAAGTTTAGTACATGTGGGAAAAGTCACAGAAAGCAGATGATATGTTATTGAAGAGGAGCTTAGAATGGTAAGGCTACACATTTCCATGCGTCATGTTTTGGAATCATTGGGTCCCATGTTTTTCTATATTTATCGTAATTTATTATTTAAGTAACTAGATGTATAGGTTTTGAATCAACTATGGCATAAACTTAAATCGAGTAATAATATTAATGGTTTGAAATTACTTTGTAGAATGGATTATTTTTTCAATTGTATCGTTTTACATATGGTACTTCTTAGTTTTGGCATGTAATGTTATTGGTCAACAGGTTGACCGAAGGTTGATCGAAATTACTTTGAATCGGATTGGGATTCGGTAAAATTCGGTTGTTTAGATTGATACAAAACGGAAGATCTTGAAGCAGTATTGGGAGAATTCGCATCAGATAGGAGAGTTAGTGCATATTGAAAATATTCAGAAGAAGTTTTCAGGTAGTAAGGTTGATAGTTTGATCAAGAAGTTTGACATTTTAGATTTTATAATATGTCAAAACCCATATACTTATGCTCCAAAAACTATTACCATGGCTTTTGCAGAAAGTGAAAGGTTTGCAGGTTTGGATTTCTCACTGTTTTATGAGAGTTTGTGCATTTGTTACAACGGGTTCAGAGTCGTATAAAGACCATGTAATTCTTTTTGACTTTTTTTAGCTTTTACTATTGATGAAAATGTTAATTTGGTAACTTAATCTATAATATGCTTTTTACTATACATTGTAATTGCAGCTAATAAAGTCCATATGTGTCGATCTAATATATATTATATATTCAAAGGTTAATTCAACAATTTCATGTCTGATTTTTTATGTTCTTCAAGTCCAATTTGATATTTTTGAAAATCAATTTTTAACTTAAATCTTATTGAGTCATAATCAATGTCTTTTTGCCCACCGTTGTTAGAAATGATTTGTTTACATATGGACAATTAACAGTGGTATTTAATCTAACCATTACGGTGACCTCATCAACCTCAATACTTGTTTGGTTCGATTCTAACCAAAAAACCAAAAAAAGTTATCTTTTGTTTTTCAAAATGATGTTTATGGGTTTTAAATATAATAATATATTATAATTTATAAAAATTAGACATTTTTAATTGACAAATGACATCTATTAACTTTATTTTGTAGGTTTGAAAGTATTTGACCGATTTAAATTGCAGATTGAAAAGATCCAGCAAGGTAATACAAATCCATCATCTGTCTTTTGCTGCTATTTTGCTTTTTGCTGATTTTACTGATATATTCAACACAATAACTTGCAATTTTCCTGATATATTGAACACAAAAAACCATAATAGGTTGAGATAGTAATCCATGTTGTTGTAATCGGTAATGCTTTGCAGTTTTTGCTGATTTTCTTGATTTGTTGCGCTTTATTTTTGATAATGATTTGTTGTTGCTTTTGTTGATTTTTGAAATATATGGTTATATTTTGCTGAATTATGTGTTCATTTACTGAATTTTGTGTTCATTTGTTGATGTTTCTGGTCATTTCTTGATGTATCAATATATTAATCATTATATTAAAACAACTCCTGATTTTGGATGAAAAAATTGCAAGGTGTTTGTTGGTTGCTTTGGTTATTGATAACGTGGAGCGATAAAGATACTTTTCTTTCTCTATGATTATGATTTCGTTTCTTTAAGATCTAATTTGGTTATTTGAATAAATTGAAAGATACGGAGTGGATTTCCAGGCAAGATCCTTATGTTTGTAACACGGAACGAGACTTGCCCTTCTGCTTCTTGAAAGTTCTAGTTGTCTTTCTGGGCTAACCATGGATTCTAAGG